CAGGTGGCGGCGGAACTCTACAATCGCGCATGTCCGCGCGCGTCGCGACCATCGAACGCCTCCACGCGCTCGCGACCAACTCCAACGTTCCTCTCCCGCTGTGCGGCGACTGCGCGACCGTTTTCGCCGACCGATTGCACGCGGACCTTACCGACCTCGAGGAAGAACTACGCTGCTACCAGCATTTCCTCCCATCACCGACCACATCCGCTGATACCTGCGACGACCTGGCTGAACTGCTCGCGCTCGAAGCCGACCTCGCCGCGCAACTTGCCGCGGCCGAAGCCGAAGAAGCTGCGCTTGAATCGACGCTCGCCGACTTGGCCACCGACGCGGCGGCACTCGATGCGGCCGAACGCGACTTCTGGCACGCGTCGCACGCGTTCCAGGCGTCGTTACAGGCGTACCAGGCCGAACGCGACGCACTGAATACCAAGTACGACGCGGCGTCCAAGCACTTGAATAAACTGAAGCGCACCAACGTGTACAACGACGTCGCGCGGCTCGGGCACGACGGGACATATCCGACGATCAATGGTCTCCGACTTGGGCGGGGGGTCAGTGGGGAACGGGCGCGCCGCCCGTGCCGTGGCACGAAATGAACGCGGCATTTGGACAAGTGTGTCTGATGGTGGATGCGTTGGCGCGGAAGGCGAAAGTCGAGTTTGTCGGGTACCGGCTCCTGCCGATGGGGTCGTTTTCCAAGATTCAGAAACTCGTGCCGGCACCAGCGAATGGCGCGTCGAGTTCAAGTTCGTCCTCGTCGCGCAGTTCACGACGGGTCGTCCTGTCCGATACGGCCTCGATGCGGCGCGGATCAACCGCGTCGACCGATCCCGCGGGACAGCAATGGGTCGTCTATGCGACCTACGACTTACACGGTGGGCCGGGCGAATTCACGACGCTGAACCGGCTCCTACTCAACTCCAAATTCGAACAGGGGCTCGAGGCGCTCTTGGCCTGCGTCAAGCAATTGGCCGAGTACTGTGCGATCATGGACCCGGTCGAGTTCAATATGCCCTACCCGATCGACAAGGATAAGGTCGGCGGGTACTCGATTCGGCCGCGCACGTCGTCGGACGCATGGGTGCGCGCATGCAAGTGTCTCACGTCGGATTTGAGGTGGATCATGGCGTTTGTGACGCTGGTTGCGGCACGGGCCGAAGCGGGGGATGCGGCGAGGAGTGGGAAGGGCGCGAGTGCGGCGGCTGTCACGCCGGGGGTGGGGAGGAAGGTGTAGTAGGGGTTTCAGTTCCAGTCACGTATTTATATTTCTAGGCACACGGAATCAAAACCCGATCGTGGTGTATTTTCTCTCTCGACAGTCGTTCAGTCCATGATGACAAGAACAATCGGCATCAAAACGCGTCATCTTCAAAATTGGCCGACATGCACTCGTCCACGTGCGCGGCCACGGCAGTTGCAAGTGTACCCGGCGCAAAATGGACCGCGCAGATCGGGCACGTTTGCACCGACTGCTGGCTCGTCGCCGAGTGGAGTAAGGGAGGAGGTGGCGGTGGGGACGGCGACGGAGACAAGGTCAGATCGATGACTTGCCGGGGAGGGGGAGCCGGTGGTGGAACAGCAGGAGCCACATACGGAGACGGAACAGCGGGTCCGGTGCGAGCAGAGAACAGGGCCCCGCGAGATGACGGGACGGTCAGGGCCGTCCTTGTCCCCACCACGATCCGCGCGGGGGCAATCGGAGGACCAGAAACAGGGGTGGAGAGGGTGGACGACGGCGCGGGAGGACGCGGCGGCGGCGCAGAAGGAGCGGAACGCGATGCGGTCGCCGACGATGTGGACGAGCAAGACACGTTGCTGGACACGTTCATGGAGGCAGAGTCCATGGCCCGCGTTGGAAGGGCAGACAGTGCAGCAGT